AAGAATCCGCCTCCAATGTGGGAGACCTGAATTCAATCCCTGGATTGGGAAGATCTCCTGGAGAAGGAGATGGCAACCCACCCCAGTATTCTTGCCTAGAGAATCCCCATGGACAGAGGAACCTGGCGGGCTGCAGCCCGTGGGATCACAAAGAGTCACACATGACTCGGGGACTAAGACTATTCTCAAGGCTCTGAACTTGAAAGGTATAACACTTTCCCATTCTTAAAGAGATAAAAAGTGGCAGAACAGAATCTTTTGTTTTGGTGGGGGATTAAAGGGATATTATGACCAGACCTGCATGGACAGCTTCGAGAACAAAGGATTCCAAGATGAAAAGTTTTCCACAGTGGAGGGGACGTAAGCTATGACTGATCCGTGTTGATGTATGGGAGAACTAACAAAATTGTAGTTGTCCTTAAATTAAAAGTAAATAAATTAAGGGGGGGGGGAACTTGTAACAGGACTTCCCTGGTGGTCCAGTGGTTGGGAATCTGCCTGCCAATGCAGGGTCAAGGGCCTGATCCCAGGACTGGGAAGATTCCACTTGCCTCGGGGCAGTTAAGCCTGTGGGCCACAAGCCCATGTGCCTAGAGCAGTGCTCCACAGCAAGAGAAGCCACTGCAATGAGAAGACCCTGCACACAGCAAAGAGCAGCCTCCTCTTCCCGCAACTAGAGAAAGCCTGTGCCCAGTACAGCCATTAATGAATTAATGAAAACATTGCAACAACCAACTACACCTCCTCCTTTTTTAGAGTGTGTCTGTGTGTGTAAGTGTGAAAGTGTGAGTTCACAGGTGGGTATTTAATCTGTACAGTTCTCTCTTCTCCTTGGAATTTTCTTTCACACGCTGCTGCTGCTGCTGCTAACTTCATCAGTTGTATCTGACTCTGTGCGACCCCATGGACTGCAGCCTACTAGGCTCCTGGCCATGGGATTCTCCAGACAAGAGTACTGTAGTGGGGTGCCATTGCCTTCTCCTCTTCCCCATGGGCTAGGGTTATTTTATATTCAGTAAACACTTACCATTGCTCTTGCCCCAAACAGCCCATCTAACTCAGAAAAGATGATTCTTTGGGGAATGAGTTCACCATCTTGTTGATCTGCTGGCTTTCCAAATAAAGTCACTGTTCCTTTCCTGAAGACCTCATCACTCTGTCCCATGACAAGAAATGTGAGGTTACCTGAATGACAAACCCACAGCAAGCATCACCCTCAATAGTGAAAAATTGAAAGCATTTCCCCTGAAATCAGGAACAAGACAAGGGTGCCCACTCTCACCACTACTATTCAACATAGTTTTGGAAGTTTTGGCCACAGCAATCAGGGCAGAAAAAGAAGTAAAAGGAATCCAGATAGGAAAAGAAGAA